CCTTGGGCATGTCAGGATGCTCTTAAGATAATGTCCTTGAGATCCTTGTATAAGGCTGCCTTGAAATTTTTCCATGGCCTTAAAATATTCTTAACATACTTACCTGTGGTTTAATATTTATTCGAGCTATTTCTTATTGTGAACATTTTTGTTGATTGGATATTAAATGATTTTATTTTCCAACCCAGCACATCTTGGGTTTTTTTGTATAGTATACCTTCCAAAGTTGACTTATGAACCTGAGCAATTTCTTTTTGACTTCATCTCTCTCCCCATACTTTCAATATTCAGCTAAAGAAAAGTCAGTTTACACTTCCAGTATTCTGCCTAGAATACTTAGTCAGATCCACAATTTAATTAAGTACATTTTCTTTCAAGTTACTGCAAACAATACTTTGTCCATTTATTTCTTGACATCTTTCCGGACTCCTGTAACGGTTTCTTTATTGCTTTTCCGGTTTCCATAAAGTCTCTGCCACCCTCTTTGTGATTGTGGAATTTTTTGTATAGCATCCTGGTTTTCTAGGAACACAGGAAATTCTCTTATCTGGAAATTATTTATATATTGTTTATATGTTGTTACATATTGTTTAATGGGCACAAATTTCTTCCATTGTGTATCTACACTCCTTTACAATGTGACCTTGTTGTTTCTCCCATCTAGAATTGGAATCAATTTCTTCACCCCTTTGAATCTAGAATAGCTTTATGAATTGCTTTAGTCAATGGAATGTGGCAGAATTGACACCGTATGAGCTCCACAGTGTAGTCTTCAAGAGGTCTTGCAGTTTCTGCCTTTGAACTCTTAAAAATATTCCTCAGAGATCACCATGCTGTGAAGAAGTCTGGGGTGAAAAGCATGTGAAGAAAGAGACCCATAGTTGCAGTTTTTCCTGCTGAGCTCAATCCTAACTAAGCAAATCTAACCACTGAATAAACTTATGTAAAACAACCTACATAAAACCAGCAGACAAACAACCCAGCCAATCCACAAAATGATGACAAATAATAAATTACTGCTGTAAGCCCATACGTTTTGGGTGGTTTGTTATACAATAACTAATACAGAAATCAGTACTGTAAGTGAAAGGATACCATTTAAAAAATCTAAAATACATGACACTGGCTTTGGGAGGTTACAAAGATTCCAGATATAAAATGTGTTGTATAATAAAATAGTTATGTATTGTAATGGTTCCTCAGCAATATGAAGGGACCACTTTAATTGGTGAGACCATAATAACTTCTTGGAGGAAGAGATATTTTGGTGGATCCTTGAAGGATGGATAGGATTTTGACAGGTAAAAATGAGAATAGGAATATATATGGAAGACAGTAATTGCTGGGTCATAGGGATATCTGGTAGGTTGTTTCACAATTTCTCCCCTCTCCATAGTAGCACTCTTTGAAATGTTCCTTTTGTGTCTTCCTACATTTGAAGATGGAGTGTATTTCTCCATTCTTGAGTGTCAGCTGGTTTTGTGATTTGCTTTGATGAATAGAATGTGACAGAAGCAGTGTTGCCCCATATCTGAACCTGGGTCTCAGAAAGCCTTGAATGTTCTGCTCTTCCTCTTGTAACCCAGTCTAGCCACTATATAAACAAACCAAGGCTACCTTACTATATGAGAGGTATGTGGTCCAGTTGGCCTTGTACCACAGTGGACAGTGAATTCCCAGAAATGGACTTTTCAGACAGCCAGCTGATGATAGACTCTTTAATAAACCCAGCAGAGAACAGAGGAACCACCCAGCTGACCCCAGCACAAATTAGCAATCCTCAGAATCCTGAGCTAAATAAAACAAACAAAATATTTTAAATCATTATTATTTTAAGTCATTCTGTTTAGGGGAAGTTTGTTACACAGATAAAGGGTATATATCTTCAATGTAATACTGCCAAACTGTTTTCCAAAGTGGTCTTACCTGTTAATACACTGATGATAACTGGGAGATCCTATTGCTTCATTTCTTTACTAATGCTTGGTAATGTCAAACTTCTAAATTTTTGGCTGATCTGGTATGTTATGGAATCTTGGCATTTTAATTTTCATATCCCCAATTACTAATGAAGCTAAGTACCTCTTTTCCTGTGTGGATATCCACTTGGCCTTTTGGATATACTCTTTTTATGAAGTACCTGTTCAGACATCTTGCAGATTTCTGTTTGTCATTGTCTTTTTCTTTTTTCCTTATTTCTTTTATTTATTTATTTATTTATTTATTTTTGGAAAATGTTTATTAAAAACATCTCTGGTAACATGTTTGGCAAAAATCTTTCTTTTATTTTTTTGAGATAGGGTCTTGCTCTGTCACCCATGGTGGAGTGCAGTGGCATGATCAAGGCTCACTGCAGCCTCAAACTCCTGGGCTCAACTGATCCTTCCACTTCAGCCTCCCCAGTAGCTGGGACTACAGGGGTGCACCACCGTACCTGGCTAAGTTTATTCTTCTAGAATAAATTTTCATTTGCATCTGCAAAGTTCTTATGGGCATTACCAATCTGGAAGCATTTTAAATTATATTAATAGATTGAGATTTCTTTTACCATCCTGTGAAGCAGCTTTTATTTAAAAATTCATACCAAATTAAACTGTTTATAACTTTCTGGAATAAGACTTTTTTTTACTCTTCTCTTTCTTTGTCTCCTCCTCCCTTTTCTTTTCCCTTACACTTCATTTGCTTGGCACCAAGGCACCTTTCCTGTAGAAGGTGGGTTACTTTTGGTTCAGCTTTACCTGAGAGTTTAACTCTTTTGAATTCTATTTAATATAGTGAGTCTATTATTAGACTTGGTAAGCCCTAAGTTTGAATTCCATACATTTTAAATCAGAGTCCATTAAACTTATAGTTTAATTTTGCTTAATATTCTAGACACCCACCGGGTAAAGATAGCTCTTAGTGCTTGGTCTACTTCTTGGTTCTTGATCTCTTTTAGAATTTAGAATTTTGTTCCATAATTTTTTATTATCTTGTCAGTCTTTGATGCTTTTGAGAAAATTTAAAAATATTTTATTTAGAAATTTTAGTTGTTTTTAGTAGGAAGATTGGTCCAAATAACATAGCTCATCATTTTCAAGAATTGAAATTTTCCTTTTAGAAAGTTTCTTGCATGCATACCTCTCTTAATTTTATGTGTCAACTTGGCTAGGCCATAGTACCCAGATTTGGGTCAAACATCAGTCTAGATAATGTTATGAAGGTATTTTAATGGCTGTGATTAACATTTAAATCAGCAGACTTTGAGTAAAGCAGATTACTCTCCATAATATGGGTGGCCGTTATCCAATCAGTTGAAGGCCTTAAGAGAAAAAGATTAGGGTTGTCCAAGGAAGTGGGAATTCTGCTTCCAGACTGCTTTTGGACTTGAGCTGCAATGTCAGCTCTTTCTGAGTCTCTAGTCTGCTGGTCTGCCCTAAATATTTCAGACTTGACAGCCCCCACAATTGTGTGAGCCAGTTCCTTAAAATGTCTGTGTGTGTGTGTGCGTGTGTGTGGATGTGTGTGTGTGGATGTATATGTCTATATATGTGTTTGTATGAGTCTTTTTCACATATATACATACACCCTCCCCATGTATTTACACACATATCCATCCTATTAATTCTGTTTCTCTGGAAATGCTTATTAGTATAATACTTAACAGAATGACTAAAATAGAAAAATAGTGATAACACCAAATGCTGGTGGAAATTTGGAGAAACTGGGATTACTTGCACATTGCCAGTGGGAATGGACAATGGTACAGCCACTCTGGAAAATAATGTGGCAGTTTCCTTTACAACTAAAAATGGACTCAATATTCACTCAACCCAGCAATTTTGCTCTTGGGCTATCTCTAATAAATGAAAAAGTGTGATCACAGAGAAATGGGTACATAAATGTTTATAGTACCTTCATTCATAATAGTCCCAAACTGGAAACTATTAAAATGTTCTTCAGTGGGTGAGTAGTTAAGTAAATACCATACCATGAAATACTACTAAACAATAAAAAGAAATGAATTATTGATACATGTAACAATTTGGATGAACTTAAAAAAAAGCCATAGGTTACATGATGTGTGATTCTATTTATGAGCACTCTTGAAATAACAAAATTACAGAGATGGATAACAGATTATCATTTGCCCAGAGTTAAGAATGGGGGAAGAGAGTGAGTATGACAACAAAAAAGCTGCTTGAAGAAGCTTGTATTGATGGTAGAGTTTGATATCTTAAATTGTGGTCATAGTTGCATAAAGCTATAAATATGATAAAATTGCCAAAAAGCATACATACACACAGACACATGCACACAAATAAGTATGTGTATAACTGGTGAAGTGCTAATAAGCTGTGTGGATTGTACCAAAGTCAAATGCACAATTTTAGTATTGTACTCTTGTTATACAAGATGTTAACATTTGCAGGGGGTATTGAGTGAATGTGCATAGTACATTCTTTTGCAACTACCTGTGAATTGATAATTATTTTATATTAAAAAGTTTCTTACAGCCGGACTCATACATTTTCTGGGTTGAGAAAGATATTTACATATGTTGGTTTTTAATAAAAGGCAATTTTCCCAGTTCGTCTTCCAAAATCCCAGTTGATTTTAAAGATTGCATATTACTATTCATATCATCCTTGCAAAGAAATTTTATGTCAAGGCAAAGTTTAGGAAGCAGAATGTATATCCCAGCTTTGGCATGAAGCAACTTGCCTACAACATCATGAACCCAGCCTTTAGAAGACTGGGCTTTAGGGAAAAAAAATTTACTCTTTGAGAATACTCAGCTACCAGAAAAAAGCTTCAACCATAGAGAAACAGAATAATACCATTGTTGCTAAGTGGTTTTTTTGGTCAACATTAGAGTGGAATGATGACACAACTGTTATTCAGGGCTGAAATTGGAGGATTATGGGGCACAGGTTGTTATATTTTTATGGTATCTATGCTTTTACTTGAAAAACCTAGATAAATTATTTTTTTTCAGTTAAAATCTTTTTATATTACAGGGAATAAATATTAATATGGAGAACGACTTTAATACTGAGTCATCATCTACATTTACTCTTCAAAGTTCTTCAGAGACATTGTTTTCTATTCAGCTATTAGATTTCAAAACAAATTTACTGGAAGCATTAGAAGAATTGCGTATGAGAAGGGTAAGCTCCTTTTTAAAATGCTTTTTTTTAGATAAGAAAACTTGATTTTGTTCAGTTTATTGTTTTTCAAAGAATAAAAAAAGGCCTAAAGAATCCCTCTTGTTTAGAAATAAAATATATAGTCCAATTATTGAAGTAAACATTAAGTCAGTGATCAGGGAATGGGAAATAAGAATTTGGAAAATAAATTAGAAAATAAAAGAGGGATTTTCAGATTAAGTACTTGATAAGTCAACTAGTATTTATTGAGTCCCTGGGAGTGCACAGATAGCACCCTCTTTAGACTCCATGGCTGATGAAAAAGAACTGCTCTTGGGAAGATTACATTTTTGTTAAGGTTATTATATAGATGCCTATGAAATTATTAAATAACCAAACAAGGCATTATATGATTAAGTGACAAAATAAATGTATATAGTAAATATTCTGGGTTGAGAGAATCAAATATTTTTATTTTAAAAAGTGATAACTGTGATTTCTTTCCCTAAAGGATATGTCTAGTATAAAATTGTAAAAGATGAGGCAGGTGGATCACTTGAGACCAGAAGTTTGAGACCAGCCTGACCAACATGGTGAAACCTCATTTCTATTAAAAATATAAAAAATTGGCTGTGTGTGATAGCACATGCTTGTACTCCCAGCTGCTCAGGAAGCTGAGGGACAAAAATTGCTTGAACCCGGGAGGTGAAGTTTGCAGTGAGCCAAGATCATGCCACTGTATTCCAGCCTGGGTGACGGAGCAAGACTCCATCTCAAAAAAAAAAAAAAAAAAAAAATTGAAGCCATCTTTTGTGTACTCTGGAAACTGGTCCAGCTAGTTCACATTCCTCTAATTAAATTTGAGGATCCTTTGATGGAAACTGTAGAAATGATAAAGGTAATCATTGAAATTAAAAACTTTAAACAAGGTTAGATAGCAGGTGAAAACATCTGAAGAGACAATTAGGAAACAACAAAGTGAATCACACAGAATTCAGTACAGAGAGGCAAATAGGAAATATGAGAGTGTAAAGAATCTCTTAACTATTGAGAGTCTAACTGCTAAAAAGCTGTTAATGGTAAACTCTTAGACTTTCTTTTTTTCTTTAGAAAATGTCTTTATTTTGCCATGAAATTGTAGATTATGTTTGTGTTCTGTCAGTATTTTAAAGAGATTTTATTGAGTTTTTTTGCAGCCATTTAGAAGTTTTCTGTCAATTGAATTGTTCCTCTGTAGGTAATCCATCATTTCTATTTGCTCTTAAGATCTCTTTGTCGTTAGTGATCTTTATTTTTAATGTTTCTAGGTGTGGATTTATCTATATTTTTAGGGACTCATTTTGATGCCTGAATGTTATGAAAAAATACAGCTGTGATTTTTTTTGAGTATTGCCACTTATTTTCTTTATCATCTTTTTCTGAAACCCCCAATAGACAGCATATTAAACCATGCCATTCTAACCTTTTTGAGTCTTAACTCTCTTGTATTTCCTCCCATTTGCCTCTTGGTTCTGAATTCTGTGTAATTCATTTTGTTGTTTCCTAATTGTCTCTTCGGATGTTTTTACCTGCTATCTAACCTTGCTTAGAGTTTTTAATTTCAATGATTATCTTTTTCATTTCTGGAGTTTCCTTCAAAGGATCCCGAAGTTTAATACAGTGCTAATCAAAACCTAATGCGGTGGTTTCTTAGAGCTTGATAGGGTGATTCTAAACTTATATATATAAGAAAAATGCATGAGGATAGCTAAGAACATTTTCTCTTTTTTTTAAATTGTACTTGAGGTTCTGGGATACATGTGCAGATCATGCATAGGTACACACATGGCAATGTGGTTTGCTGCCTCCATGCCCCCGTGACCTACATCTGGCATTTCTCTCCATGTTATCCCTCCCCAACCTCCCCACCGCCCTGTGCTGTCCCTCCCTTGGCCTCCACCAACAGACCCCAGTGTGTAATGCTCCCCTCCCTGTGTCCATGTGTTCTCATTGTTGAACACCTGCCTATGAGTGAGAACATGTGGTGTTTGATTTTCTGTTCTTGTATCAGTTTTCTGAGAATTATGGTTTCCAGATTCATCCATGTCCCTGCAAAGGACACAGACTTATCATTTTTTATGGCTGCATAGTATTCCATGGTGTATATGTGCCACATTTTCCTTGTCCAGTCTGTCATCGATGGGCATTTGGGTTAGTTCCAGGTCCTTGCTATGGTAAACAGTGTCACTATGAACATATGTGTTGCATGTGTCTTTATAATAGAATGATTTATAATCACTTGGGTATACACCCAGTAATGGGATTGCTGGGTCAAATGGAATTTCTATTTCTAGGTCCTTGAGGCAGTGCCACACTGTCTTCCACAGTGGTTGAAATAGTTTACACTCCCACCAACAGTGTAAAAGTGTTCCTATTTCCCTGCATCCTCTCCAGCATCTGTTGTCTCCAGATTTTTTAATGATCACCATTCTAACTGGCTGGAGGTGGTATCTCGATGTACTTTTGGATTGCATTTCTCTAATAATCACAGATGATGGGCATTTTTTCATATATTTGTTGGCCTCATAAATGTCTTCTTTTGTAAAGTGTCTGTTCATATCCTTTGCCCACTTTTGAATGGGCTTGTTTGTTTTTTTCTTGTAAATCAGTTTTAGTTCTTTGTAGATTCTGCATATTAGCCCTCTGTCAGATGGGTAGATTGCAAAAATTTTCCCCCATTCTGTTGGTTGCTGATTCACTCTAATGATTGTTTCTTTGTTGTGCAGAAGCTCTGGAGTTTAATTAGGTCTCATTTGTCTATTTTGGCTTTTGTGGCCAGTGCTTTTGGTGTTTTAGTCATGAAGTCCTTGCCTATGCCTATGTCCTGAATGGTTTTGCCTAGATTTTCCTCTAGGGTTTTTATGGTGTTAGATCTTATGTTTAAGTCTTTAATCCATCTGGAGTTAATTTTAGTGTAAGGTGTCAGGAAGGGGCCCAGTTTCTGCTTTCTGCATATGGCTAGCTAGTTTTCCCAACACCATTTATTAAACTGGGAATCCTTTCCCCAGTGTTTGTTTTTGTCAGGTTTGTCAAAGATCAGATGGTTGTAGATGTGTGGTGTTGCCTCCGAGGCCTCTGTTCTGTTCCATTGGTCTATATCTCTGTTTTGGTACCAGTACCATGCTGTTTTGATTCCTGTAGCCATGTAGTATAGTTTGAAGTCTGGTAGTGTGATGCCTCCAGCTTTGTTCTTTTTGCTTATAATTGACTTGGCAATGTGGGCTCTCTTTTGGTTCCATATGAAGTTTAAGGTGATTTTTTCAGGTTCTGTGAAGAAGGTCATTGGTAGCTTGGTGTGGATAGCATTGATTCTGTAAATTACTTTGGGCAGTATGGCCATTTTCACGATATTGATTCTTCCTAACCATGAACATGAATGCTTCTCCATCTGTTTGTCCTCTCTTATTTCGTTGAGCAGTGGTTTGTAGTTCTTCTTGAAGTACAAACATCCTTTGCTAGTTGTATTCCTAGGTATTTTATTCTCGTTGTAGCAATTTTGAATGGCAGTTCATTCTTGATTTGGCTCTCTTTAAGTCTGTTATTGGTGTATAGGAATGCTTGTGATTTTTTGCACATTGATTTTGTATCCTGAGACTTTGCTGAAGTTGCTTATCAGTTTCAGATTTGGGGCTGAGACAATGGGGTCTTCTAAATATACAATCATATCGTCTGCAAATAGAGAAAAATTGACTTCCTCCTTTCCTAATTGAATACCCTTTATTTCTTTCTCTTGCCTGATTGCTCTGGCCAGAACTTCAAATACTATATTGAATAGGCGTGGTGAGAGAGGGCATCCTTGTCTAGTGCCATATTTCAAAGGGAATGCTTCCAGTTTTTGCCCATTCAGTAGGATATTGCCTGTGGGTTTGTTGTAAATAGCTTTTATGATTTTGAGATACATTCCGTCAATACCTAGTTTATTGAGAGTTTTTAGCATAAAGGGCTGTTGAATTTTGTCAAAGGCCTTCTCTGCATCTGTTGAGATAGTCATGTGTTTTTTGTCTTTGGTTCTGTTTATGCGGTGAATTACGTTTATAGACTTGCTTATGTTGAACCAGCCTTGCATCCCCAGGATGGAGCCCTCTTGATCGTGATGGATAAGCTTTTTGATGTGCTGTTGCAATCTGTTTGCCAGTATTTTGTTGAAGATTTTTGCATCTGTGTTCATCATGGATACTGGCCATGATGAAGTTTTCTTTTCTTGTTGAGTCTCTGCCAGGTTTTGGTATCAGGATGATGATGTTCTCATAAAATGATTTGGGAAGGAGTCCCTCTTTTTGGATTGCTTGGAATAATTTCAGAAGGAGTGGTACCAGCTCCTGTTTGTATGTCTGGTAGAATTCAGCTGTGAACCTGTCTGGACCTGGGTTTTTTTTGGTGGGTAGACTATTAATTGCTGCCTCAACTTCAGCCCTTATTATTGGTCTATTCAGGGTTTCAACTTCTTCCTGGTTTAGGCTTGGGGGGATGAAAGTCTCCAGGAATTTATCCATTTCTTCCAGGTTTACTGGTTTATGTGCATAGAGTTGTTTGTAGTAATATCTGATGGTGATTTATATTCCTGTGGAATCAGTGGTAATATCCCCTTTATTGTTTTTTATTGCATTTATTTGATTCCTCTCTCTTTTCTATTAATCTGGCTAGTGATCTATTTTGTTGATCTTTTCAAAAACCAGCTCCAGGATTTATTGATTTTTTTTTGAAGGTTTTTTGTGTCTCTATCTCCTTCAGTTCTGCTATGATCTTAGTTATTTCTTGTATTCTGCTAGGTTTTGAGTTTTTTTGATCTTGCTTCTCTAGCTCTTTCTATTTTGACAGCATAGTGTCGATTTTAGATCTTTCCTTGCTTCTCATGTGTGCATTTATTGCTATATATTTTCCTCTAGACACTGCTTTAAATGTGTCCCAGTGATTCTGGTACGTTGTGTCTTCATTCTCATTGGTTTCAAAGAACATCTTTATTTCTGCATTCATTTCATTGT